GTGTGTGTGTGTGTGTGCGTGTGCGTGCGTGCGTGCGTGTATGTGTGTGTGCGGGCGCGTCTGTAACACCTCAGTTCTTCTCCTATTCTGAGCCACTTGGTCAGTGCCCGTCAGTAAATTTATTGCTGTCTTTCTGTCGGACCTTTCCGAGGTTCTCGATCCGGCGCTTTCTTCTTCCCGTTACCTGATGGTTGCGCTCAGGCTGCCGTCAAGACGATAGACTGGATCCCAACCCCGTCTCTCCGGCGGTTTCCCCTTCCTATCCTCACTTTCCACCCTCACTCCGTGCGTGTGTAGCGCACGAGCGCGCTCTTGATTGCTCGATCGATCGCTCCTAGGGCGGCCTCTGTGACTCCCCTTTGATTGCTCGATCGATCGCTCCTTGGGCGGCCTCTGTGACTCCCCTCCCCAAAAATGCACACGCTCAGTGTTTCACTCGGGAAAAGTTATAGAACGTCCCCGCGAGGAAACCTTTGTACTCATTTGCCCCCAAACGGGGCAAAAACTGGCGCAGGCCCCAAAATGACTTCTTGCGCATTTTGCACCCTGGAGAACACTTTCCCGCCATTTTTGCCAGCGGACGTTACCGGTTCACCCAGGGTGCAAAAATGACTCGAAAAGTCATTTTGGCAAACTGAGACACCTTTTGGCCCGCTTGGGTGGAAATCAATACAAAGGGTTCTATAACTTTCCCCGTTTCTCTCAACCCGAAATTTCACCAGGTCCCGCTGAGGTCTGCAGGTTCTCAATGAGGGCATACACTCACACAAGCACTTTTGTCGATGTATATAACAGGAGTTACGGACAGTGCTGGGTGAATCTGACGCTAATCTTGCCCTAAGCTTAGTAGAAAAAGTCCTGGGAAGCGACGAAACCTTTGTATCCATTTCCCCCAAATGGGGAAAAAGGTGCGGCAGACCCCAAAATCCGTACAGCCCGTGCGTACGGACGCACGGACGGGTCCCGTCCGAACGTGCCTGGGCCCGATGGGGGGGTGACGTGTTGGTTTTGACCCCCAGTCACAACGTTGGTGGTTATCATAACCTCCTGTGACAATAAAGAGTTGGGAGTTGATCAGCCTCCCTTATCGTGAGCCTCATCTTGCGAGCCTTTGCAGAATTTGCATCCGGGGTAACCCCAAAGTCTTCTGGGCAGTTTATGGTGTCTGGAAAAGCCTCTGAATGATCCTCTTCTTCCGGCCCCTGGAATAGGCTTGAGTATTGATCAATGACTTGTACCAACTCTTGAAACCGTGAAGTGGAATCTGGACCACCTGCTGGCTCGCTCTTCTGTTTCCACTTCTTGAGCCGTGCCCAATAACTTCGCAGGAATGGCTTCAGGTTAGCTTCGTGATCCCGAACTACGAACCGAAGTAGTTTGGCAATGACTACGGCACTATCAGACCTCATTTCGCTCACGCAACGGACAGACAATGCATCCAATCCCAGCTGAGTGGGCAGCTTAAAACTGTCCAGAGGGTATCTAAGCAGCAGCAGGAGTTGTTCAAGGATGGTTAGCAAACCATCTCCATGGCCAAGGACCTCCTGCTCTCTCTCCTTCTCCCCGCGACAAACACATATCCGGAGGACGCGAGTAACATTGCGTATAAGCAGAAGAGTGTGAACGGAGTCTTCCAGACCTTCCATCCCGTCCATTTCGGCCTCGTGCCACTTGTTGCAAAAGATCTCTTTCACTGTACAAGCTGGCCTCCACCCCAGATTTATAAATGGCTCCGTTATCCGTAGGAGGAAAATAGCCCAGCATTTTCTTAAAAAAGAGTCGCCTGACCTCACTCTTTCGAGACGCAGACGGCAGAGTAGAACGCGGCAGAAATCTAGCGCCTCTCTCCTTACCCTAGACTCCCTGGAGATGTAGTGCACGGGGGATTGATCGTCTCCACTGTCTACCATGTCAGGCAAGTCCTCCGCCAAGTTATCGAGTACATCGGCAGCAAGGCCAACTGCAGATGCGTAGCAGTTCTGGAAGGCGAACGGAGTCCCTCTGTAGTCAATTGAAAATGATTGCTCGTCTAGAATCCAAGCTGCAACATCACGCTTACAAACGAGGGCCCCTGATAAGTCATTCTGAAATTTGTAGTCTCGGATTCTGACAAGAAATTTCCAGCCCCAACCTTTGTCTCGGCGACAGATGGTATAATTACAGATAGTTCTCTTCTGAGAGGGGGAACAAGAGGCAAGGAGGTCGCGTAGGGTGTCCATTACCTCGCGTGTGAACCAGTCAATCTCTCTCCTCCCACGCACTCCATCGCAGTACACGAGACATTGAAGCAGAAGCTCTGCAACTTGGCAATCAATGTCTCTGAGGTTCTGACAGATGAAGATTTTGACTAAGTACAGCTTGGAGAAAGCAGAGAGACGTGCTTCATCTCCCTTTTCGCAGCAGTGACAAATCAACCCCTTCAGCGCAGCCTCGACCTTGGATGCCTGCGGAAGCGAGTCCAGCGAGCACAGCGAGTCGGGGAAGTCCTGCAGCCTCATGTCGAACCGATGCCAGTAGACCATCCTCGGGCACAACAGGTAGGCAAAGATCCTGATGGCGTCCTCCACGAGCTTCGGCGAGGATGGCTTCCTCTTCCGCTCTTTCAAAAACTCCAGTAAATGCCTCATCGTTCGGGGGCAAATCAACACCGCCCTTATCCTCTCAGTGAAGTCCCGAGCCTCCTGTCCGCCGAAGTTGGGTACGGGTGTCTCCAACGGCCAATCCCCCGGCCCAACTGTGGTGAAAGCATTACAAAACCTGCTCGCTTTAGCTGCCTCCTTCCCCAGCCACCCGATGTGCGCATGCACCTCGCTGGCGGCATGTGCAAAGGAACAGAGTGCAGAAAGTACCGTCTCTTGGAGACGGAGCTTCCCTCCCTCCTCCTCACCTTCCTCCCCTTCCTCCTCTTGCTCTCTCTCCTCCTCAGCGGCCACTGTGGTGGCCTCAGTGCCGGGGTTGCCTGCCCGCGGATCAAGAAGATGAACCAGTTTCTCGCCCAGTTCACCTGCCACGTCACTGTCCAGTAAGATGTCCGCATCAGCATCGCTCTGGTCTCGCCAGGGCTGCCAAGGCAGCACAGCAAGTCCCCTAGCAAGTCGTTCGAGGATGGATGCGGCGAGTTGGACCCCTTCGGCATCCACAGCGTTCGTATAGCATTGGAGCACGCTCAGCAGCACGGAGTACCCTCCAGAGGAGGCGAAGTCCCGACCGACATCGACATCCATAGAGAACCGGGTTGCCTGAGGTATATCCAGAACCACATCGGCCATCTCATCCCAGACATCGCTATTTGTCAGTCGTGATAAGTCATCAAGAGCCTCCAATACCACTGCCATGGTTATCTGCCCTCGCCAATCCGGCCCCTGACTCTCCCGTGTAGATTGCCTGCGCTTGGCTTTCAGGGAGGGCAATTTGAGCCTAACAATGTGCAGCAGTTTAGGCATGTCGTGAAACCAGTACGCTGGCAAACCGCACGACTCACCGTGATTCCTGGCATCCTCGGTCCTAAACATGCCGTGGTGAAATATGTGGTGCTGGTAAACGAACGCCAAGTCAATTTCTCTCTGCGTCCTCCATAGCCGTTCCCACAAAGAACCTTCGCACGGACATGGTGGGAAACTGGGAGAAGAGGAAGAAGAATGATTGATTTGCCTGCGCCGAACTACCTCTGGCCGTTTGCTATGGAATGCCCCGGAGACGCGTAGCAAGAAAACGAACGACAGACAAACGAGGTGTACGCATATCGCACCGTAACAAAGGTTATCACATATAATCAGCTTGCGGTTTACCCAGTCGGACTCCACTCCAGTGTGTTGGGACCTATGCCTCATCCGGACGATGTGAAATCGCCTGAGGAAAGCAATTTCGACGAGATACCCAACAAGTCGAAAAAGAAGAAAGACAGAAAATAAACCTTGTCGCACTCTCACTCTACCTTCCAGAATTCTAATCTCAAAGAACGGTGGAGATCTCACTGCTACGAAATATGGTTGCCACAGGAAGAAAGGAAACCCCCGGGCTTGAAGCCCAGCGCAGGACATACCAGAAAACCGGATGGAGCAATGGTAGCCGAAGTACTTGGACAGAGCTGTAGCGACGGAGAGAATCACGTAAGAATAAAAGACGTCAGGGTGCATCTCTGAACCCAAAGAGCCCAATCCGAAGCCAAGTACGGCCATAGCGGCATACGCGGCAAAACTTTCGTCCCGCTCTCTCTTACGATATTGTGACAAAATCCTACGCGAATCTAAGGTCACCGTGTACGGCATTTCACCAACTACTTGTAGAGCGCGTCTCTCTCTCTCTCTCTCTCTCTCTCTCTCTCTCTCTCTCTCTCTCTCTCTCTCTCTCTCTCTTCCGACCGTCTCTCCAAACCTATCTGATAAAAATCTCTCTCTCTCTCTCTCTCTCTCTCTCTCGCACACACACACACACACACACACAGTGTGTGCGGTTTGCTAAGTGTCCGGTATGCTATTGAAGGCTCTCACCCTGTCTCACCTCTTCGACATCTTCCTCCTCGGCGGTTTATCCTTCCAGCTTTCATCCCCTGCGCAGGAGGTGCGCCAGCACGTTCGCGCTCGCTCCTCGGCGCCCTGTCTGACTCCCTGTCAGATTGCTAAACACACTGGGTGTTTATCTCTCGAACACGAAATCCACCAGGTCACCCTTGCGTGGACAGGTTTTTAAAGTCTATATCTTAATTGGGAATGTTTTCATCTTGCCTCGTTTATGGTTACGCTGAGAGTCTGTTGCGTTGAGACCGAAAAACGAAAATCAGTGGTGAGAGTGGTGTGTCTCTGAAATGGTACAAGATGCCAGGGCGGAAGCGGAACAGCGGTGTTCTCGCCGGGCTAGCTCTGTAATGTCGAGGCTTCCTCGACAATCCTGTCCTCTTAGGATGGAGTAAAAAAGAGGTTGGCACCCACTCTGTCTCGAAGGGCTTTTCTAAGACGAGGGCTGTGATGTCGTTTGGAAATAACATCCTGCAGGCCCTCCCCGATCAAGACTCTCCCAGATTTCTCCAGACTCACCAGCGAAGCGCCACGTGGATGGGTGTTCTGCTACGGGCATGTACTGTTCAGTCTCCGGACGCTGGCTTCGGACATCATGGACTCGCCTTGAATGTCCCACCTACCCCCTTGGCCACCACTCTCGAGGAAGGTGAGCTCTTTGAACGGCCCTGCCTCTCCCGTTGTATACTAAGGTTACGTTGTTTTTTGTTTCCTTTGTTTTTCAGAACTGTAGTATTTCACTATCTGCTCCCAGCGGAGTTCGAACTCACGTTTGGATTTCAACAGTTCAGGAGGTGTACGTGATGAGCTAGGCGAGTTGGTGGCTTTTTTTTTTTCTTCCCCAGGGGGGAAGGCGTTTTTCTTAAAAAGGGCCCAAAGATCCAGGGGCCTAACTTAGTTGGTAAGGCTTGCAAGTGGCATTAAGGAGGTCGTGGGCTCAATCCCCATTTACTCATGTACCTTCCTGGCATGTTTGGCGCCCGCCACCTAGAGATAGACCACTGGATCCCCCTATCGCCAT